TTTTTGATAGGTTATGATGTACTAAATATTTAATATAAAAATATGATGATTATAAACCTATGTTATATAAGATAGTTCTTCTAAGAAATTTATGTCAATTTTTTACGTTCGGCACCAGGGAATTGCTAAGTTGTTAAAACCAAACAATTAACTAATCTAAACTAAGAAACTATGTAGTTAGGCGAAATAGTTAAATATTCTAATAAGAAAAAACTAATGAAATTTATAGAATTTTATGTAGTTTTTTTTTGTATAAAATATGCAACAAGAAATTTGACAGTTTTGCTTTTACAAATACTGAATATCTCATAAAATAATAGTGCTTATTCACAGCAAACAACATTAACATTTGACTTTAGATATTGGTTTTAAATAAAATTATATTAATTAATTTTATAAAGAGCACTGTTTGGATAAAATACAGTATAAAATAACTCTGTATTGAAATGTAAATAAATATAAAAATTTATTGGTGTATAATCACCTGAAATTATTTTCATTTGTTTAATGAAAATATATTAAAGAGTACTTATCCAAGGTTTTTTGGGTTACTCTGCATTTGCTATTTGGTACATTTTGTGCTAAAACTACTTGACACTCATTAAAAATAACATTTTAAATAAAATACTTTATAATATTGACGATTTTCTTGTACACCCACCTTCACTTTATGAGATTAAAAAAAAAAAATAAAAAAAAACACGCTGACCTAGAAATTTTAAGATTTTTACTAGAAAACCTGGAAAAATCAGGGAAATTTGAAACCTGATTTGAGTGGCTGCCCTGTTTAACTTTTTATGAGTTTTCAACTTTTTTTTATAACTTCTACCAGTGAATTAAATTTAAGTTTGACATATATCTAAATGCTTTATATTACACATAGATTCAACATAGTTTCTTTCAGTATTTATTACTAGCTTTGCTATAAAGCTTCTCTCTAATATAATGCTCTCTAATATAATGCTTCTCTCTAATATAATAAGTACTCTTTAATATAATGCTTCGTTAGCGTTCCAATTTTACAGGTTTTTATCTGACATAACTGCTTCTGGAGTATATTCATTTGAAACAATCTTTTTCTTAATATCCTTTCAAGAAATAGCTTATAAAATTATTAAGAGAAGAAATGACCCTTAAGAGTTGAAATTTCAACATGAAACTATATCATGATTTGACTGTTCTAATCTTTAACAATCTAAATTGAATTCAACAGGGTTGTCACAGGCGACTAAAATGCGATTTCTGCCTGAGGCGACTATGGCAACTTTTTTTTGCCTGTAATGGTTAAAAAAGCAACTATTTTTGGGGAAAGGAGTCTATTGAGAGACTTTTCTATACTCCTATGTTTTTTTTACTATAAATTGGGTTGATAATCTGTGGCCCGCGGAAGCTTCTAAAGACAATGATTTTTTTGTTCTTAAAAAATAAAATATGTTGAAAATTTTGATTTGCAAATTTGAGTCATTATTTTTTAATGCGCACAAATTTTCAGTTTGTGTAATCACTTTGTACAATATATATATATATATATATATATNGATAGGTTATGATGTACTAAATATTTAATATAGAAATATGATGATTATAAACCTATGTTATATAAGATAGTTCTTCTAAGAAATTTATGTCAATTTTTTACGTTCAGTACCAGGGAATTGCTAAACTGTAAAAACCAAACAATTAACTAATCTAAACTAAGAAACCATGTAGTTAGGCAAAATAGTTAAATATTCTAATTTCTAATATGAAAAAACTAATGAAATTTAAAGAATTTTATGTAGTTTTTTGTATAAAATATGCAACAAGAAATTTGACAGTTTTGCTTTTGCAAATACTGAATATCTCATAAAATAATAGTGCTTATTCAAATAAAAAACAACATTAAGATTTGACTTTAGATATTGGTTTTAAATAAAATTATATTAATTAATTTTATAAAGAGTACTGTTTGGATAAAATACAGTATAAAATAACTCTGTATTGAAATGTAAATAAATATAAAAATTTATTGGTGTATTATCACCTGGAATTATTTTCTTTTGTTTAATGAAAATATATTAAAGAGTACTTATCCAAGGCTTTTTGTGTTACTCTGCATTTGCTATTTGGTACATTTTGTGCTAAAACTACTTGACACTTTAAAACATTTTTTTATCCATTAAAAGCAATGTATTCTACAAGCTAAATATATTATTTTCTCCACATCTATTCAAGATAATTCATTAAAAATAACATTTCAAATAAAATACTTTATAATATTGACGATTTTCTTGTATACCCACCTATACTTTATGAGGTGAAAAAAAAAACACGCTGACCTAGAAATTTTAAGATTTTTACTGGAAAAATCAGGGAAATTTGAAACCTGATTTGAGTGGCTACCCTGTTTAACTTTTTTTTTAATGAGTTTTCAACTTTTTTTATAACTTCTACCAGTGAATTAAACTAAAGTTTGACATATATCTAAATGCTTTATATTACACATAGATTCAACATAGTTTCTTTCACTATTTATTGCTAGCTTTACTATAAAGCTATAGTTCATTAGCGTTCCAATTTTACAGGTTTTTATCTGACATAACTGCTTCTGGAGTATATTCATTTGAAACAATCTTTTTCTTAATATCCTTTCAAGAAATAGCTTATAAAATTATTAAGAGAAGAAATGACCCTTAAGAGATGAAATTTCAACATGAAACTATATCATGATTTGACAGTTCTAATCTTTAACAATCTAAATTGTCGCCTGTGGAAACAGGGTTGCCACAGGCGACTATGGCATCTTTTTTGTGTGCCTGAAATGGTTAAAAAAGCAACTGTTTTCGGGGAAAGGAGTCTATTGAGAGACTTTTCTTTACTCCTATGTTTTTTTAGCATACATTGGGTTGATAATCTGTGGCCCGCAGAAGCTTCTAAAGACAATGATTTTTTTGTTCTTAAAAAATAAAATATGTTGAAATTTTGAATTGAAAATTTTAGTCATTAATTTTTAATGCGCTCAAATTTTCAGTTTGTGTAATCACTTTTTACAATATATATATATATATATATATAACNTACCTAATCTAATATATATATATATATATATATGCTAAATCAATTATTGGTAAAAGGGAACATTTTTTAGAAAGAGTGTTTTTTTTTTCAAAAAAATTTTTTTTTTGAATGATTTCTAGTAAATAAAAGTATTTGATTTCTACGAATATACTCATTTTTTGATATAAAAATTTAGTGCTAGAGCACCAACATTTATATAAAAATTATCATATTTGCCACCAACTTGGCTAAATGGATCATGGTATGTGACAATTAAGTCAGTTAGTTACATTTTAGTCATATTATTGGGAATATTTCTTCTTATTTAGGCAACTATTTTCATGCTTTAGGCTACTAAAAGCAGCTATTTTGAACATTTTTTCTGTGGCAACCCTGGTACAAAAACTTTATGTCAACTCAAATGGCATTTTAATTAGATATTCTAAACGGAGAAACCCCTTACAACCTATCTACATAAGAGTAAGGTATTATTGAATTGCAAAAATAACTCCTTCCCTTTCCTGAAAAACTTTTAAGGAAATCAGGGTTAGAAAATGAAATTTTTTACTAAGAACCTGAAAAAGAGAAACTGCAAACTTGGAAAAATTAAAATAAAGCTCTTTTCTAAAGTAAAGTCTTTTAATTAGCTAGAATTCCTTATTTTCCAATATAAAATTGCCAATAATAAAATAGAAAAACATAAACATACCATTTTCAATATAACTATATAATCTTTCGGAAAATTCAGAGGAATCCACAGCTGTGTGATTTACATGCTTGTGCCAACTTTTATGATTCTTAGTGGTAGCCAAATTTAATGCTTTAATATATTACTTTATATTATTACTTATATATTACTCATACTAATATATTACTTCAAAAATTTTATTTAAAATAATTTTAATACCAAAACATGAAGAATTTAAAAGCATATAAGAACTAAAAATATGTGTGACAAAATTTAAAGCAAAAAAGTCAATAGCTTTTCAATGAAAAATATTCGAATTTGTCCTTCCTCACATATTTACTGTTTGTGAACTAACCAATTCAAGAGCTTCATTTTTGCAGAATAGAAAATGTGTGAAAAACAATCTCGATTAGGTGTAGTTTGTCTACGGTAAGATCTCCCCCTGCCATGAAGCCTGAGTCCGTCTGCTGCTATGGAAACAAGAAAAGCACATTTCAAGGAGGGTAGCTTCTCTCCACTCTAGGGCTTACATAACAGACAGAAGAAAAAAATTCCTCTTTTCTTCTAAACAGCCACCCCACACCTCTTCTTGAAATAGTTATACATCGTTACCATAGTCCAGACGAAACTGTATTTGTTGTATAAAAATGTAATACACTTTTTTCTATAATATCTTGTATTGTAATAAATGTTTAAAGTCTGGTTAAGGTACTTTTTAAAATTTTGTAGATGCGTTTTTTCTTCCACCAAGGTATACTCAACTGATATGAGTGTGGATATTCAGAAAATTTTTATCTGGAGTATTTTTTTAAAATTTTATTTATTTAATTTTTTTTGTAATACACTTAGATGTAAATGGGTTAGGAACAAGTAATGATTTGGAAATTTCAAGGGAAGCTACTAATCGAATAAAATCCCATCACTTTGTACAAATTATTATTTACTTAAGGTTGTTTTTTGAAGACTTCATTGTCATATGCATTCAGTGTATATAACTGTTGTTAATGGATTACATCCACTGTCTTGTCCATCTGCACTTATTGTGATAATTTCTCAAAATGTCCATATGAAGAAAAAGCTTGGAATTAAAAAATTTTAAAGTTTGAAAAACTATTCCAGCTCTACTGCTTGTGGATTCAAAAATTGAGAATTAGTTTTTAGTTTAAATGATTTTTATCAAGCATCAAAAATCTTGTCTCATTGGTGGCTTTTTTTTTAATGTAATAAATGTTAATGTAATAACAAACAAACTTATAAGATGTTTATTTGATTATAGGTTATTGGGTCATAATTGTTCTACTTTTTATCGCCATCGTTGTGATTGCTGTGATACCCTCTTAGTAGACAAGTTAGTTTATCTGTTTTTCACTTTTATGCATTTACTTTTTTGTTTTGTTTATACACTGGTGTAAGAAATTAAGAGAGTTTGCAGACTTGGTCGATTATCTCTAGAACTACAGGACCGATTTTAATTAAATTTGATATGTACACACATTCATACAATACAAGACAAATAGACATTCAACAATTGTAATACACATGCATGATCGAGCGTAACACTTGTTGGAGTCTGTCCTCATGTTCGTAATGTAAGTTTAGATTGCCAAGTACTGAAACATAATTGGAAAGAATGGAAAAGACATCAACCTAAAATTGTTTTGTTTATCCCACTCATGTTTTTTTAAAGAAATATTAAATTAATACATTTACAGTTCATATTATTACCTAATAAGTGTTAAAAGATTGATATCATGTATTTAAATGACAAAATATTTTGGAAGAAAAAAAAACACCCATCTCTCTTTAAATTTATACCTTAAAACTTTAAGAGAAGTAAAATTTTTCTGTAGAATCTATTGGATTATAAGGAAAAACGTTTTTGTTTTTAACTCTTATTTATTGAAATATTTGATATTATTCTAATTTTTTTGGGGGGTTTCTTTCATATTATTGTTATGTGTGACTTGGAATTATTATTTTGTGATTAATGTTGTTGTAGTAAAAATATATTTATCAGCAGTTAATATCTGATACAGTGTATCACATGTAATGTAATGTTGTATCACATTTGATCATTCAGTGTTAATCTTAATTATGCATAATTTAAATTTCTCTTTTGAATTAATCTTCTGATAATTTTTACATAATAAAATTAACTTAAATTATATTATATTTGTTTGATATTAAAGCGTGGATCTGTTTAGAGTACTTAAAAAATGTAGACAATATTGGTTTATTAGAATAGTAGCGTATAATAAGTTGTTGCAGATCCTGCTATGTTTTTTTTTAATTCTTATTATTTTAATCACTTTTGTAATAGCTTTTTTTTAAAAAATTCTATAATACATACATTGAATGTTATTTTGGTCTTAAGTGATTTTTATTTTCACAAATACAAAATTATCCAGAAGCTAATTAAAATTATTTCATGAATTATATTTAGCTAAAAACGAATATTGAACTGAAATATCCACAACTTTCATATTATTTTTTCCAACAATTATGGCTTTTAAAGTTATTGAGATTTTTATAAAATAAAATGTTTTAGTTGCATAGGTAAGTAGTAGAAAACAATTGCAGCATAACGAATTTTTTACAAAAAGTTTAACTATTCTTTGAAAAGTTGTTCAACTAATTAAACTTCTTTTTGCAGCAAAGTTTTATTGTGCTTATTTATTAAATATTGAAAACTTATTTAGAAATCGGTGGTAAAAATAGAAAATCATCTCTAGAAAAATAAATAATTTACATTCATAATAGTACAGTTTTCAATTTAATTTAAAATTTGCATTATCATTCAATACTTTGCATAAAAATAAATTGTCATATTTTGAAAAATAATTTTTCTACTTATGCATTACATTTGGATGGTTTGTTCAGTGTCTAAAATAATGTCAAAACTTACCTAAATTATTTTGAAAAGCTTAAATTGTATGAAGCAGTGCGACATGAATGTATAAATTACATATTAAAAAAGATCTCAAACTTTTTTTTTTATACAAACTGTATTCTTGTTTTAAACATTTCTCTGATAATCAGTTTTTTTTTTACATTTCATTTTATCAGAAAAATTTATCAGAAACAATTTTTGTTAATTAATTTTTTAAGTGAAACTTAACTAGCAAGTAACCATTTTTAAATACACTTCATAGCTTATTATGAAGATTGTATCAATGCTAAGAACAAATTTATGTGTATTATAAATAGTTTAGTATACTAATTTTATTGTAATATTATATGTGCTGTACGAAAATAATATTCTAAAAAAGTAAAAGTTATTTTCTACCTAAAGCCAGATGGCATTGGAACTGTGACTGTTGAAGAGAAAGATTTTTTTGCCGATATTAAGGAACAATTAAAAATACTGCTCGAAAACCAAATTACTCATTTTAGGTAAATATATTATTCTTTTCTTTATAATTTAATCTAACTTAGCTTGTTGTTTAAAATCCACTTGCAAATTTGTTTTTTGGTTATCTTCTTAGACTTTGTCTAATATACCCCAGTTCACTTTTTTTTTCTCGCTCTAGACTTAGTTAATAGCTAACTTATATCAGTTTACCTGAAACAAATAATGTTGCTTTCAGTATGGCCAAATTTTGAAGCACTACTTATAACTAAACTTTATTATTTTGCTTACTTAGTTATTTAAATCATCAATTAATATTTTATTCAATGATTTGCTGTTTTTAAGTGCTTTTCTCAATTAACATTTAAAGGATTGCTCCTAAATTATTTATGCTATTTAAGCAATTGAGGAAGTAAATCTTTTTTTTTGTTATTATATTTTACTGTGAACAATATAGTTGCTCCAATCAGTGTAAAAACCAGGGTTCGTGATTTTATTTAAATCAGATTTTTTGGATTTAAATCAGATTTTTTTGATTTTTATTCAAATATATTATAAGAACTTTTAACTTATGATTAAAAAAACTTTATAAATGTTTAATCAAAATCAAATTAATATTAAAACTATATTATAAAAATATTTTACTAGCTCTAACTTACTAAAATAATTTTTCATTATTATACATAGCTTTGAATGCATAGCAACCATTTTGAAACAAATGCATGATTGAATAGAGAATGAAATAGAGATTTTGAAGAATACTTCAGGGGTCTGTCTAGGTTTTTCTGAGAGATTTGTGAAAATTTAGACATAATTTGTGAAAATTAAAAATTATATTAAAAAATCAGCACAAAAGTATGGTAAAAATATGGATTTATCGTTTCTTACGAAACACAGAAATAAAATTTTAAGAAACAGTATTTTCTGAAACTACCATTTTTCCTAAAGTTAAATTTGTGAAGGTACCGCTAAACGGTAGTAAATTTGGCTTGGACAGACCCCTGTTCTTTAACTATTAAAACAAAGTTTCAATTAGCAAACCATAATTTTAATTTAAAATTGTGATTTTTTTTAATCTTGATTTTTAATACAGCAAAATAAATGTAACTGATTGTGTTTACAAATGTAGTCATTTATCAAAAAATAAATAAATATTTAATCTATGTATTTTTATATAAAAATATATTTTATTTTAATCCTATGTCAAAATAGATAAGTTAAGATAAAAAATAAAAAAATTAAAAATCTGTATTCATTCGAATTTTTTTCGCAAAATTTCTTTATCGAAAATCTGATAATGTCAAAGGTACTGTAAACTTACTATGAGAAAAAAATACCAGTTAATAACTCTACTGCTTCAAATTGACTTTGAAAGGGAGGAATGACACTATATCAGGAAAAAAATATCTGAATTCATTAGCCTATTTTTTTCTTCTATTTTTGGCGTATTAGAGTTGGAATGAATCTTAAATAAATCATAAACTTATATAATGGAAAAATCATAAGAATTAAGTAGAATATCATTAAAATTATAGAAACTAATACAATGTGGGAAAATGAAAATTATGACAACTTAGCACAACAAATAAGTTTCAAAATCTTACTGGATATATACTTTATTTCTTTGATTGATTATCAGAGCATGATTTATAGATAACACTGAAATATTTTTCATTGAATTATAAATGAGTAATTGAAATTTCAATGGCCATATTGCCAAACATAAATATTACTCATCTACCAACATAATGAATAAATCTAAACTGAAACTAAAAAAAGGAAAGAAATAACAAAAACAAAATATTTCTTGATTAACAGTACCACTGGCGCCATCTGTTATTGAAATTATAAAAAGAGTCAAAACAAGAGTAATTTCTTATTAACAAAACCTCAAGCTTTAGAAATATACATTTCCCACCAATAAAATATAATGTAAATTTTAATTCCATGCTTTTTCAATCAAAAGGTAGAATTTTAATTAACATTATTTGCATTTTTTTTTTAAAAAAATTCATGTTTATTAATTACTTACAATTATGCAAGTCTATATTAAGATAGCATTAAATGTGTACTTTATTTTGTACTTTCAATCTCAAGAATCGAAAGATTTTTAAAAATTTAATTTCAAATGTGTCGGAATTTAACACACACCAAGAAGGAAAGTAATTTCGTTAACTAAAATTAATTAATGCAGCAATTTATTTAAAATAAATTTTAAAACTAAAAATGAAAATAATAAAAATATCAATAATTTAAAACACTGTTATTTAACTTTTAAAATCAATATACATAAAAAAAATCAGTTGACTTAAATCAATGATTTTTTTAAAAAAATCATTTGATTTAAATTGTGATTTAAATCAAGCTGATTTAAATCAACAAACCCTGGTAAAAACCAACCATAAATGTAAAATTAATCCTCTACTGTATGATAGATATTGTGTTGAATAACTATGTAAGGCTATAGATTTTGAAAAGAAATTTTTTTCTACATTTAGCTCTCCCTAACTATTTGTGAAACTAAACCTACCTTGTTATATTTTACCTTCTTTGATATATAAGACAGGCTTGTTGATCTTCTAATAGAGTGCTTTGCGAAAAATATAATATTTTCATATTTTGCCTTGCTGATTTATTTTCTGAAGCTGATAAAGAAAAAATTTCTTAATAATATAGCATCTTCCAATGTTTTTACAGAGTTTCAATTATGTTGTAAATATAGCTATGTATCATTCATTTGTCTTTTCAATCAAAATGCATTTTGCTATACAGTATGGGACCCCTAATCCGGAAACCCGTAATCCGGCAGGACCCGAAATTCGTTTAATCCTACCTAAAAAAAAATTTAAACTTTTTTTTAAAGAAATTTTTATTGATACGAGACAAAAAATCAGTCATATTCTCTTTTTATTTGGAATTTTTTTATTTATAGTAAGTAACTATATTTTATCGTTTAAAAATTTGAAAAAAGCATAAAAAAATAAATAAATCTGTGTCAAAAAACACATCTGTTCCTAAAGCTGTTTAAAATAAAGTGAAATTGAAAAGTAAAAACATCTGCTTTTCCAATGAACAAAATAAAGAAATGCTAGTTGGGAGAAACTGATCAATCAATCTTGACAGCTGTGCAAGTGCTTTACTGGTTTGGTAATACAATAAATTTAAAATAGAAATTTAAAAAAAAGAAGAAGAAAAAAAGGAAGGGGGATATTACAATCTTAAATTATTTTGCTCATAATAAGACATATATTGTTGAATACTGTAATAATAGGAAAAAAAATACATGATGCTATATCAAAAATAACAAAGGTAACATAAGAAATTCATTTGGATTGCTACAAGACTGGTATAAGAAATCAAATGCTTCCTTTAAAGTGAAAAATAGAGATCTTAATCGTAAATGTTCATCACAAATTGAAATAAAGCACGCTTAAAAGAAGAATATATTTGGATGTTTTGCAACTGAAGTGGTAATTTATTATATAATTTAGGTGCTAAGTAAAAAAACTGTTTTCGTGAAATTTCTTTTGTAAAGTGGGGAATCTCATATATTTCAGTTGGTCTCCTTTCAGACACATTAGTTTTTAATTTGCACATTAATTTATTGTTGTGTAAATAAAGTAACATACAAAAAAATACATTATTGCGAAATGGTAATAGGTTGTTTCTTGTATATATATTGGTAGTAGTTATACTTGAATTATTTATATTTAGAGGATTAATAATCTTGAAGCATTTATTCTGAACTGAGATTAAAGGAAGTAAATTAGTTTTATATTCACCGCCATATATTATTGCACCATAATTAATTAAAGAATAAGACCAGGAGTAATAGAGTGCTTTCACAAAATTAAAATGAATTTTATTCTTAACATGATAAAATTTAACTATAACAAAACACAATTTTTTAACTAAATTGTTAATATGTGTTGTGTTTATGTTGTGTTGTGCTTATGTAACTGCATGTAATTATCATTTAAAGTATAACATGTGCATAAGCATTTTTTTCTAATAATAGTTTGACACATTTTTTTCTTAGGCAGTTCCAGTTCTAATCTTTTTCTAACATTACAGCTAAAATGAGTCAGTTAGTTGCTTTTTATATTTGTAACAGTTCAACCTGTTAAAGGAGTTTTTCATGGTAAAGGAACAGCTTTTAATTGAGTAGACAGAAGTTATAATATCTTACCCATATTGTGTTAATAAAATTTCAAATTCATATTACGGACTTAAACATTCATGAAGGAAATATGTACTTAAGTGTCTCTTCTAAAAAAATATAAAGTAGAATTTATTGTTTCTTCTTTTTCTAAGTGATATATTGTGGAAAACTGTCCAAGTTTCTAGTATCTTTCTAAACCTTTTATAACATCAAATAAACTAAGAATTTCTGTAACATTTTCAGGGTATTCGCACACCTGGAAAGTCATGAATTTCAGTATTGAACAAAATTTGTCATGAAATGTCATGATTTTAACTATTTTTTAAAGAAAATCATGGAAAGTCATAGATTTAGGTCGCTGAGAAATCTAATTTTTAAAATGGAATTTGAGAATACCCCCTCCCCATTTCTTGGTGTTCAGAATATCTGAATTTGTAATAAAATTCCCACTCACAGTTATATTTTATTAAAATATAAAATGTTTTTATCATGTTCTTTAAAAGCTATGGTGTTCTTTCAAAAAATGAAAGAAAAAACATCATTTCTAGAGTGAATTATCTTTTAAACTTCTGGGATTTCAGAATTTTTGTTATTATATATTTTATTTTTTTATTTTATTAATTTAAAATTCTAGCTGAAGCAAGCCAGTCATTGGCGAATTTTTTTAAAATTCCGAAATGAGAACAGAAAAATCGGGAGTAATTCTTTCTTTTCGGATGTATCTTTAGTATCTTCAAAGTATCTTTAAAATATAATTGTGCAGAAAAATTTTTTTTGCTTTTGTATTTTTTTCAGCTATTTTATTGCTTTAATTCTTTCTTTATTCTGTTTTTTTTTTTTTTTTTTAAATTTAAAATCTTTAAATATGATGATGCAGAGTAT